GATCAAAACTTAAATAATAAGAATTAATATAGGATAATCAGTTAATTGTGGAAGATATAGCTTCGTACCCCCAATAGGCATATCCTTAAACAGTTTATTGATCTAGGGTTCTCTAGAATCTGAATGCATAAGATTTTGTTCTGGCATTTCTGGCGTTTACCTATTCATGTTAACATCATATTCTCTTTATAACAAAGCATATTTACAGGGTATTCGCCTTGTCGTTTACTACATTTTCTGATACACCTACATTGCTGCAAACTTTTAGTTTTTTCTTTTGCATTTCAAAGGCAGCGAAAGTCGACGACGACGAYGACGATGGCGTCTGGGCTTTTGGTCTTGGTCGGGTCTATGAGCCTGGCCTAGGAGCTGCCGCGGTTGCTACAATTTCTGTGTGTGTGATTTAATGCGCGACTTTTCGCTATTTCGGCTTAGTTTTTTTGTTTAGCTCTAGCTTAGTTTCGGCAGCAGCAGCAGCAGCTGCCCGTGGGCATAYATATTGGATATCGGGCGTCATTTGCATATCTCATGCACCATCGACGCGAGCAAATAAAAATTTATGCAATTAAGCAAATCAGACGATCAGGAGGCGACGATCCTGGTTAGCTAAGGCTCCAGTCTGTCCGTCCGTCTGTCTGTCCGTCTGGCAAGCAGGCAGAGATATACCCTGCAATGCCTGCCCACTGAGCTGGTTACGCTTCGATAGTTATCTATGCATTGTAATCATCGATTGCAGCAGCTGCGGGGATCATTTGTTTGCCTGGTTTGTCATGTGAATGTGCCACGCCCACACACACACACACACACACACACCACATGCATTAGAGCTGGGCAAAAGCGTGTCCATCAATTCTTCACTTCACTTTCATTCGGAGGCCATATATATATGTATATGGAGGGAGATATATATGCATATAATGCCTATATGCATATGGAGTTAGTTAGTGGGTGTTTGTGGGGCATTTACAGCTCTTTATATTGTTTGCTGTTGTTGTGGTTGTTGTTGTTGCTGTTAATTTGCCTGTCCGCTCCATGTGAAAGTTTGCTGCATGCCACAAATTGCACGCGCTCAAACTCGATGAAACGTGGGAATCGCGGCGGCACGGGGGGTTGGGAAGGCTGGCGGGCGCTGCAGGTTGCAGATTGCGCTGCGAGGGTTCAACATTCATTTTTCATGCTGGCGATTATCCTTTTAACGGTTTTGACCAACACAGCAAAGAAAAAAGAAGCCAGATCCAAAAAGCAGCCGCATTCACAGCACATAAATCGTCCAAATGAGGCATTCAATCGTGTTAACAACTTGTGCGAAATAGTGCGCAGCAGGGGCCAGCAGAGCAGGATCTATGGACATGATTAGCCTAGTAGGAGCTGCGCGATGTGTAGGCATCGATATGTGAAATATAAACTTTACGAAAGACTATAATGAAAATGGTATCTGAGACGGAAATCACTAAAGGAAATCTATAAATTTCTCGAAGTTTATACAAATATCTGCATATAGAGGAAGTGCTACTAGTAGCAAGTAAAAGTGATGAGATCGAAAATGCTCGTCGTAAACTCTTTCACATATTAGCTGTATTTGCCAAAAAAGTCAAAAATTGGATGTCCGGACGGACAGATAGATATGGCTTTGTCGCTTAGGCTATCCCAATTTATTATGCTTCCAGCAACGTTAAGTTTACAACTTCATTAAATAATTGATCTATTACTTATTTATTAGTCTATTTAAGCTTTAGTATCTAGTGATCCGTAAAACCTTTTTGCTTGCTGACCTCTTTAATCTTCACACAGCAACTCGAATTGCAATTACACAGAAGTTTATTTTGAAAAAAAAAAAAAAAAAATCAATTTACGAAACACTTTAATGTCTCAATTCCTCCATGGCAGTTTCCCCAGCAGCGAAAGCCGCACCCAGGAAAATCGTTGCTCGATTCTAAAGAATTTAATTGCATTTTTTACGTGTTGCTTTTAGCAGCTCCACAAATAAAACTGAGACACATTGGTTCAGCAATTTCTTGGGCAGCTCTAAATCAACTGGAGCTTGTGCTCTGGGAGGGGTTTTATCTACTAAGGGGACGGCCACATAACACACATAAAGCAGCCGCTAAGTTCGATCGGTGTGACATTTTGTGACATTTAAATTGAACATTTAAGGGGCGAGCGACCGCCCACTCGCCGTGGGAAGCGATCAGACGAGCCGATCGAAGCGATCGAGACGTGTGAAATTGGGTCACAAATTTGTTTCGCCTGCCTAAAATCAAAAGTTCTTAACATAAATTATGGTGTGAGCCCGCGCTGGCCACCGAGAAAGTGTAACCCCAATACGAAGGCAGGTTGCAATCAGCAACAGCAGCAGCAGCGGCAGCAGGAGTCGAGGCTACGCCCTGTTGTCCTACTTATGCAATCGCACTTTCCAAAAAATACACAACAAATAATATGTATTTTATGCTGCAGGCGGTGCAGGGCCAGCCCCAGTTTCGATCGTGTAATCGAACAATCGATAAATCGTCCATTGGCCATCCCCAGCGCCCGAAGGCGAAAGACAAACACTGGAATTATCGCATATTGCGAGTGGCTCTTCGACTTGGATTTATTTGCATTTTGCATTGGGGGCCAACAGCTAACAGCTATCAGCAGACAGCCAACGTTTTGGCCGTTGGCAATACAATTTGGTCAAACAATAATGTCTATCTGTATATACATATATGCAGTTGATGCAGTAGAAGAAACTACAGTAAAAACTGCATGAGCACGGACGGACAAAGCAATTAGCGTTGGCCATTTATGGCCTGAGCTCGAAAGCTGGGAAAACTGCGAAAACTTTTCAGCTGGGTGGCTTAAGAACCGTTACGCAACATTCGTTTTTCTTTTTGTTAGATTTTTTGTTGCTTTGCTTCTGTTGCTGTTGCAGTTGCAGTTGCTGTTGCTGTTGTTGTTGTTGTCGTCGGCGACTCAACGTGCGATCATGCTGCACAGATAAAGTGCACAATTTATGATGCCGCTAATCACCGGCGTGCCTCGGGGATGACGTTTCAAGTTGAGCGCAGTTTGCAGTTATTATGTGCTAACTGATAATGATTATCCTGCTATAAGTTGAATGGCATTTGAAAGCCTTCAGGCGGCTGCCCGACCAGTTGATTAGAAAGATATCAAAGAATACGAGAGCCTGAGAAAGGCATGTTTGAACAAGTAAAAGCTGCTTGCCTGGCATGGACAGCCGAGTGAGCAGCATAGATCGTAGATTTGTTGCTCATAAGCTCGATTATTATCAAGTGGAGTGGATCAGTCAGCTAAATGGACGCTGTGCAAGAGAGCAGCAATTAATAATTGCTGAGATAGTCTGATGATCGTTTATTACGGGGTATAATATACCCGGACTTGCCGTAGACTTATCATTGATCATTGATCCAAACATGAGCTAGAATTTAGTATGCTTTTCAGCATATTTATATTCAGAACTCCTAAGAACAATTCATATAAAGTAGATAAATTATAATGCTCGATCAGTTGATAAACAAAAATTCCTTCCTCATATCAATTATTGATGCTTCTTTGCGCTGCCATTAAGGAACTTTCATTTATGTTGAATTGTATGTAATGAGATCGTCGGATCGATTGAAGAGATTCGCGCTGGCAAAGAAAAAAGAGATGGAAAGTAAAACCCATCCTAGCATCAGCGACGTTCATCAGTCATCGAGAGTCAGATCGATATTAAGATAGGCATTGCAGCTCCAATACAATGACGCTTGATTATGCAATGATCTGTGTCTTCTATCTCTCTCTCACTCTCTGTCTCACTCTGTCTGTGGCAACGCCTTTGGCTGGGTTGGGTGGGGCCAGGGATTGGGAGCGGGGCGTATGGCTTGGGCATGGGGCAGCTGCAGCTGCTGTTGCTTGTCCACTTCAACGCCTGATGCGGCCGCGTGTCCAGGAAATGAGGTGAATGCCTTCTTAGTGGCAAATGCGGCAATCGGAACCAGCGCACAAACAGCAGAAGAAGAAGAAGAAGAAACGAGAAGACGAGGAAAGAGGGCGCAGCAAAAGGCAGCAGCAGAGCCAACAGCAGGCGAAAAGGCAGGCAAAGTCCAAACAGCGAAATCGATATTATTTCAGGGACGTAGCTTCTGACAGTCTCAGTTTATGCAGTTGGCACTTCCACTTATGTTTTGCAGCAGCATTAAAAATGCCCTGTAACCACATTAATGGGGTAGTTCGTGTAAGAGAGAATGCTTGCCCATTAGCAAATACTTTTTGTTGGAGTACGGGGTATCTGCTAGTCAATCAGGCCTCATAGCTTATCGCTTGTTGTCGTTCGTCTGTCTTTTGTCGGTCTTGGTTTCTCTGCGTGCTGCATGCGGTTCCAATTTTGTGCTCATTCGGCCATTGAGCGCGTATTGGTAGAGCGTGTGATGGAGTGAGGCTAGCGAGGGGATGAGGGGCGGGTGGTGGTGGTTAAGGGAGTGCAGCAATGATTAGTGACAAACAACATTGGTGGGTGACTCACTTGGCAGAACATTTGCCAGCACACATGTGTGTGTGTGTGAGTGAGTGACTGAGTGTGTGTATCTCTTGCTGTATTTGTGCAAGCCACGTGAAGCCACATCAATCCATCAGCCGACTTTTAAAAACGTGTCGCCTGCCTGCCACCATGAGAAAACAACAACAACAACAGCAATTCATAATTGATAACAAATTGGAAAAAAGCAAAAAGCAATCGAAACATGCGTACCCTAGGGAACTATTATAAATCAAAGGAAAAACTATATAGAGATTGTATGTGTATGATATATATGATTCTCATTTAATCATAAATATACATCTACTATCGATAAGCTATCATTTATAATCTATAATCGATTGTCACAGTTATATATCTGAGCATAACTGTAGTGATTACATACTAAACATTTCAAGTCAATAATTTTGTTATCTAGCCCAGAACTATCTATTAGAGTGTTATCTATTGCAAGCGGAACATATAAATGTATTGCCCACAGATAATAAGAAAAGCGAGTCTAACGAACTTATCCAGTTTTCCCAGACAAAAGAGGTAAAATAGTTAAGACTAGACTCGGAAATGGTCGAAATTAGTCAGTGACTCTCAAACTGTTAGCGCTTTAGAGCAACTCTGAAATTGAGAAACTTTAATATCTAAATTAAATTTCCTATTTTATAACTTACGCAACTCTTCGCTGAGCAAATCGAACAGCTCAGCTGGTTTATACCCCATAAAAATATTGATTTATGCACAGGGTATACGCATTGACCAAGTGTCTTGAAAGTGTCAATAAATTGTTGACTGTGTCACGTTTCGAGTGTGTTTTTGTGGCTTGCTGGCAACTGAATTATAGCCACGTCTTATTGCCAGTTTCTTCTCGCTGCCTTTGTTGTTGTTGCCGCTGCTGCTGCTGTTGTTGTTGTCGTTAGCTTTTGCTTATCTGCAGCATGTTTTAATGAGTTTTCATGTTCTTAACTATAGACAAACTGTAAATTAATGTCGCTGCAAAGCATTTGCCAGGCAGCAAACCAAACGAATTTAACATTTAAGCCATCAAATCGACTACACAAATAACAACAAGCAGCCAAATTGGAGCCACCGCACCGCAAGGCTCAGGCCAGCCACTGCCACCGCCACCACTGACAACTCGACACGACAGACTGACAGACAGCAAGCAGCGTCTTAACTACGATCTTTACTTTTAGTCAATTCGTCAATTGTCACATTAATAAGTTTTGCGAATACTTAAGCTCAATTTATGTTTACCTTTTGGCTTGATTTATGTCGCGAAACTGGGCAAAAGCAATTGACATTAGCTAGAAATAGAGGTTAAGTGGCCTTTTGGGTTGGGCTCCCAGAATTTGGAGAAAACCTGAGCGAAAATTACAGTGACTAACAATAGATGTTTAAGAAGTTGTTTAAAGCCCCACTTTTGGGTCAGATAGGGATTAGAAGTTTTTATGAACGAGTGGGAGTGAGTGAGTGAGCGAGTGGGAGTCTGACTGGAAGATACGCTTAACCCTTTCTATCATTCTCTGTTTCTTGTTAACAAAATATTTTCTTAATTTTCTTTCAGGTATGTAAATCTTGAAAAGATGATAAATAGCATGCTTCACAGAGCACTCGATGTTAAATGGGGTCACATGAGGTCTTTAATTTTGACACACCTTGTTGGGTAAGTGCGTTCAATCGGGATGATCGAAACGTTTTGGTTCCAGGAAATGCAGGCGCGGCAAACCAGAAACAAGCAACAAGTGGCGCCAACTGTTGAACCTGCTATCTCTACCCCTCTCTCTCTCTCTCTGTCTCTTTCTCTCCTTTCTTTGATCTGGCTCTTTCACCAGCCACAATTTCTTCTGCACACCTTGCACTGATTTCCATGGCTTTAATTACCAAAGTGGCAGACCAACTTGGCCAGCGCCATTGGCCCACATTTGCCGGCAGCAGCTGTGCGACGGTGTGTGTGCGTGTCTGTGCCCCAGAGCAATGCGTTGCTGTTGCTGTTGACGCTGAAAGTGCGTGAAGTGCCGTTGATTACCATAGACGACAGCGGCACACGCCCTGCTGACACCTTAACGCCCCAAACATTCCGCCCCAAAATCAAATATTTGCACAATTTTTCATGTCTGAACTAGATTTACATTTTGTATTACTTACTTTGTTTGCTTGAATATTTGCGCTTATATTCCGTGAAAGTAGGCGAAAGGCACATCCTCCAGTTGGTTTCAGTGTAAGCTATATAGTAGATATAGTAGCTATAATCATGATGTTTCTTATCTCTTCTATAGTCTTTTACTGTTATGTAATGATTTATACTCCCACTTCTTAGCAGCATTTGCATTTGTTTGAGCTCCACGCATTTTCCATCCTAATGAGCGGAAGTCGTTTGCAATGCAATAGAGTTTCACTAGATGGTGAGGGTATTTCGAAGTCGTCACATTAAACTCCCACCTCGGGTGCAACTTTGTCAACTAGAGCTGAATCGACTTGATCGACAAGTGTTAATTATGCGCACGTTCGAAGTGCAGACCAGAGATAGAGGAAAGAAGAAGAAATGCCGGATATGCGTATGACTATCGTATGATGAATGAATGATAATCGTATGCAGATTCAGATTGCGACGTTGCTTCAATTTTATGACTTTTGGCCATGTTCGGCTTTTGATGAAGCATAAATTGTGCGCTCTCCCAATGCAGCTGTCTATGCGAATGCATAAACAAAGAAAATTGTGAATGTCGAAAGTACGTACAAAGCAGAGGGGAAAATTGATGGATAACTTGAAATTTATTTCAATCCAAGTCGACACTGGCTGTGTTATAATAGTCTGAATTGTTGACAGCATTTGGTCAGTTGGAAAAACATAGAGCTCACAATCGGAATTCTTTTAAACAATTTCATTTTTCTTAAAAGTCCCAAAACAGGAAATCAGCCATAATCTCGATGGCTGATGAGGAGATTGCATTTGATGTCGCCGATTCGGGTGCATCGAAGACGTACCCGATGCAATGCTCGGCATTGCGTAAAAACGGATTCGTCATGCTGAAGGGTCGTCCGTGCAAGATCGTGGATATGTCCACCTCGAAGACTGGCAAGCATGGGCATGCCAAGGTCCATATGGTCGGCATCGATATATTCACCCAGAAGAAGTACGAGGACATTTGCCCCTCGACCCACAACATGGATGTGCCGCAAGTTAAGCGCGAAGACTATCAGCTGACCGACATCAGCGACGATGGGTTTCTTACCCTCATGTCCGACAATGGGGACATCCGTGAGGATCTCAAGGTGCCTGAGGGAGAATTGGGCGGTCTATTACGTCTCGAATTCGAGGAGGGCAAGGATCTGTTGTGCACCGTATTGGCGGCTTGTGGCGAGGAGTGCGTCATTGCCACCAAGGCCAATTCGGCACTGGATAAGTAGGAAGACGAAGAACGGCAAGAAGAAGAAGAAGAATGAAGCCACAGGCACAGAACTTAGGCTAATAAACATGTATGCTTTTATAAAGCAGAATTGCAATAAATAGCAAAGCATATATATAGGAGGTAGACGATATCGGTTGGAGATGGGGTAACGGGTAAATACGATACGCGGATATCGTATACAGAATCGACAAATCAATCGATGAATGACAAAGAGTGAGTTAGAGCTATATATTTATAGATCTCTTTCAGCTATAATAACACACATACATATGTGATAGGTCGCTTGAATCACATATGAATGACCGGGTGTGACCAAGGTATTTCCTAGTGGGGCACTCTTTACTAGAGCACTCGTGATAAATCTCTCAAATAGTCAAATCAGATAACCTGCAAAAGATTTTGATCAGCTTCTTCTATTATCATATTCACAGGGCCTTTCATAAACCACTCTTAAGATGATGAATGAGTAGAATAATGAATATTGATCTTCATTTGATGCATATATTGATATGTTTTTCTGTCATGGTCTCCGGTGATTCGTTTAAACGAACTTCAAAGCGATTTGAGCGCTACAAATTTGAGGCCCGCATTTGAGTCGTGGCTCATTTATCATATGAGAAGCCAAAACATAATTTAATCGTCTTTATCAAATTAATGGGATCTCATTAGGTGGACGCGCCCAATCGTTCGCCCGGTCGCTGCAGCGTTTATCAATTCGTTGTGGGCTTAGACCTTCTAGCCTCCTCCTCGAAGAGGTCAACAGCACTCTTTTTGTTTTGGAGGGCTTCTCACGTGTGTGTAGCTCATCAAGTGTTGCTAATTACGTCTGTTTGGATTCTCTTGACCAACTGCAGTTCAATGGCCAGGTCTACCAGGTCTGCCGAGTCTGTCGAGTCTGCCTAGTTGTTGTTGACCACCTGAGCAAACAATTATGCGCCATTTGTAGCATTCATTTCGTTAAATGTCGAGTTCCATTTGCAATTTCATTAATTTTGCTTAGACGAATGTTGGTTTGTCGTTGGCTGAAAAGTTTTTACTGTTAGCCATACTCTGCAATAATTAATAAAGAGGGGTATATAAGGGGGATCATACATGCAGGCATAGTGAAAGAAAATGCTCAAGTTGCTCCCTCCAGCTGCTTACAGAGTATATGCCGTGTCGATCACTCTCCTTATTCCTACTAGTTTTGACGCAGACTGCCGTGGCGTCTCGCTGGCGGCGTCGTCTCTTTGCTGCAGCATCGCAATGCTCCACCTTTGGCTGCCGTCGACGTCGCGTCGTCTCCTTCATTTTTCTCAATTGACAGGCAGTTGCTGAGGCTGCGATTGCGGCTGTTGCATTGCTTCCTTGTTTGCCAATTGCATTGGCAATCGACTAAATGCATAATATTTGCATACAGCCCGAGGACTGCGCTCAACTGTGAATATACTCACTCACACTGTGATTCATTCATTGCGCCAGTCATTCATTCAAAATTACAAATTTTCAAATTTTGTTGCCGTTGTTTGTTTTGCATGCCAATTTGACATTTCTGTCAAACTGTCGCCGTCGTTTGCCCCCTCCTCCTCCTGCAGTCGRTGGGTGTGGGTGTGTTAGCTGGTTTTCCACCAGTGCGTGGCTTTTCAGACCGTCCGCCCCGCCCCGCCTCGCCTAACTTCAGCAATTGAGCACGTTGTCAAGTCTGTTAACAAATGCAATAAATTTGTTGCTAATACAATTTAATACGACTCGTGTGTCTGAGATTGTGGCCAAAAGGATTTCGTTACATGGCAGCAGCAGTGGCAGCCGCTCCCTAACGAATATTATGCCATGGGAATGAATCGAAAAGTCGCTGATGATGTCATAAGGCGCCAAGAACTTGGGCTGAAATTCAATTAGTTGTCAAAGAAATAAAACACGAAAAATCTAAAAAAAATATCAAATTATGAATAACAAACGAAAAGGCAAACGTGAAATCCATGCGGCGGGGGCGTCTATGGAACCCGCATATTCATATACATATATATACAGTTGCGAAAAATAAAATAGCACCACTTGCAAATGCAAACTTTAAGAAGTTCTCCTAGGTGCATTTATCAATGTATTGATCTAATTTTTGCTTGTAGATAAGCAGCAAGCAATTAATGATCGCAACAAACAAGAATTATCACAAAAATATTAATCGTTTTTTTATAATTCAAAAAAANGTGAGAATTTCGAGTTAAAATCAACTTTTTGATGAGATTGGGTTGTTCGGTGGGGTAATGCTTTTCACGACCCATTTTTTTTTGCAAATTTTCACAAATTCTGAAAATTTTTTAATCAAAATAGATATATAAACAACAAATCTAATCAATAAGTGCTTTTGAAGATATTCAAATCTGCGAAAAATACAGATTTTCACTCGAAAAGGGTTAGTGGTGCTATTATTTTTTTCGGCATTTTTACGACTTTTTTGAGAATTTTTTGAATTATATAAAAACGATTAATATTTTTGGGATAATTCTGGCTTGTTGCGATTATGAATTATTTTCTGCTTATATACAAGAAAAAAGTAGATCAATACATTGATAAATGCACCTAGGAGAACTTCTTAAACTTTGCGTTTGCAAGTGGTGCTATTTTATTTTTCGCAGCTGTATATTTCAGTTGATTCTTTGAGTCGGGTCTGAGAAATGTTTCCCAACATTGGCATATGTGAGAAATATGTGGATTGGGGGAAGGAGAAACGGGAATTTTGGGATTGCTAAGCAATGAATAAATAAAGGCATTAGCGTTTAGCTATGGATGGAAGGAAGGGTGCGCGTTTTGTTTTACCCAACTAATTGTTGAGCTTGCTTGATAAATGTTTGTTCACTTGCTTAAATAGTTGGAATGTGTGTGGGAGAAACAGCTATGGAACACAGCTTCTTCTCTTGCTTGAATCCCAAAACGAGGAAAAAGATCTTAGATGTATCGAGAGAGAGATAAGTAGAAGAAGAGTGGTTTTAAAGCAAGAGAGAGAGGGAGTGACTAGGGACAACAGAGATCAAGTCATATCTGTTAAAGGTAAAAGTTGAACTGCTCTCTCCCCGCCTCAACTCCACATTTCTTAACCAACTTACTTAAAGCTGCCCATTTAAGCTGATTCTCCGTTTGTCTCGCAGCTGCATTAAAATCAACTTAACTATGCCCCAGTCCCCTCGCAGTGCTTTATAAAGCCTGCATAAACTGTCAACTAATTGTTATTGATTTTGGCTTTGCATGCGGCGCATTCTACACAACTTGAATGCATAAGCCCCAGCCCGGAAGAGCCCGGGGTATTCTATAAACTATGCCCATGGACTTGGCTGTCTGCTTGCATTTCATATTTCAAGTGCAGCGCCATAGACAAGCATTGCATATCGCCATGACAACTACAACAACAGCAATATTAGAGTGCGGGTGTGGGCCTAGTCATAGAATCTCCATTACGGCTCGAAGCTCTTAGCTTCAGCTGCACTTGACCTCCGACCCGCGAGCGGCGAGCGGCAAACGCTGTCTGCCGCTTTGACTGACAGTGTCTGCTGTCAGTCAATCAACGAGAAAAACTGCACCATGCAGAGTTTTACCCTCGCATATGAAGCTATCTATCTATCCAAAACTAATTACACGCTTTAATATGTCGGCTGGGCGTGCGGGGCGTGGCCATTATTCAGCAACTTTTTTGTCTTCTGTGTGTGGTGTGTGGAAGGAGGCGGGGAGAGGGGGAGAATGGGCGTGAATGCGTGCATCATGCAGTCATGGATACACTTTTTACCGTTATTTAAACATATACAAAAAGCAAAAAGCAAATGCAAGCGACACTGCTTGATGTTTATCTAACGGTCAGAGGTAAACAATGGCTCGCCCACCCCCCCTGCACACGCCCCGTTTTCAATTAGAACTTTAGTTTGACGTGTGTGTGGAGCGTGGAAGGTGACAGTTGCAAGTTTTAATTACTCAATTGGTGTTGATATATGTATTTCTATATCGATATAACTTTCTATTTTGTTAAATCGATAAATGGACAGTCATCGGTTTTCGAGTAATTGATAGATAAATATATGGAAGAGGAGTGTGTTTCTTTGGAATGGGAATTGTAATTGGAAAAGGGTTAAGAGAGTTGGGAAAGAAGAAACGAAATTTGAATTGAGTTTTAGAAAAATCTTATCATGAATAACATATGCATATATTTATATGAATATCTTATCATTCAGATATATGGACAGTTATTAGGTAAACAAATATGGCTTGGCAGACCCTATACAGTATATAAATTCTTGAGTAGGTTTTACTTGCGATTAAATTAAATGAGATCTGATTGAGATCAATCTATAATCAAGCTGCAGTCTTTCATGATATCAAGTTCTGGTCTTTCCACCTTATATACATCTGATAAATGCATTCCGTCTTGACTCTGATGTTAAATGCGCCAAGTTCATTCAGCTTTTCCCGATTGCGGCTTGGCTGGGCGAAGTGTTAATGATGAAACAGCGATTTTGTCTGTGACTCGAAGATAGGCATTAAATTAATTTAGTGCCGCTTGCTTTTAATTAATTGCCGCTTGCAAGACACCTTTGAGACTTGGAAGTCCGACGACTTCGGTTTCGCGTTGCGTGAGGCAATTAAAGAGATTTATGTGTCAAGTCTCCACCCTCTCGTTGCAGGGCCTGGCCAGCGGATGCGTGCGTGTCTCGGGCCAAATGGGTTAAAGAAACAAGTGTGTAAGTAGGTTTCGCGCCAGATAACCGACAGTAATACGTATATATAGCGCAGGGAATGGAAGTGGAGCTGCGAAATGGGGTCATTGGAAAGTTGGGTTATATTTCTGCGTTTACCTTTACTCTTTTTCTTATCAGCTGAGTTGAGAAACGTTTGGCTTGTGGGCTGTCAAGTCAGGTAAACTTAAATAACTCGTCTGTGACCACAGAGCTGTTAGACTCCGAGGTGCTCGACAGGTGTCAGAATAGGCTGATGGGTGGAGTGGGAGACAGGTAACTAGTTTTGGATGTATATATTGTACCATAAGTGCTAACTAAGTTTGAGATAATATGTGGGCTTACACTAATTATAATGTGGATAAATAATATGTATTAGAAATTTGACATTAGAGCGTCGT